TAAAGTAAATAATAACTCATTTCCCAGTGACTGGAAGAAATGAAATATTTCATCAGAATGCCCTAAAATGCTTCTTACAAGAGTTGAAGTTATTCGGCTAAGAAATTTGTCTTTGTAGGAATATTGGCCTTAATCATAACAGAACTGTGAGGTCAAGGTAGTATTTACCTAACACATACTAGCTATGGGCACCATGAGCTGGATATTATCATTCCCTTAACAGGTAAGAAATCAGACACAGAACGTGCCCAAGTTCACACAACCAGTAGATCAAAAAGGGAATCTGTTCTCATTCCCTTCACTACAAAATATGCTTTAAACGTTGGAAATCCAGGAAACCAAAAATGGTTGTTGTTTAGTGGTTAAGTCTTGTCTGACTCTTTGGCGACCTCTATGGACTGTAACCCGCTAGACTCTAAAAATAGTAGTCACCTGTACTTTCAACACAAAACACATAGCATTTGGAGTATACCCTTCCTGGCATTTTCCTACATAACAGGTAGAAAACTGAGGCTCTGACCCACTTGCGCTTACTTGAGCTCTCTCTCTGCCTCTTTCTCCAAGAACAAAAAAAACACTCCTAGATCAACTTACACATACTGTTTTGCAGTTTGCTTTTTCAGTTTACAAACTTGGAATATCTTTCTACATCAATAAATACTTCCCTACCTCAGTGTCAATGAAGAAAGGGTTTTCCATTACATATGTATGCCACAAGTTATGCAATCAATATCCCTATTATTGTTCTAGTTTATAACTATCATAAGCAAAGCTGCAAAAATCATTTTTGCAAATTAGAGGTTGGGTTTTTTGGTGTACTTTTCATGGAGGTCACCAGAATTTGGAGATGAGGTTTTTCCTAATTTGGGAGAGAACTCCCCCGGCCAATTTTGAGACACCCCACTACGTGGGCTTCCCATCAAGGGACGAATCACTGTGCCAGGAGAAAGCGACTGACAGGAACATGGGGCCCACATGCCTATGTAGGCGAGAACCACTGCTATAGATTGGTCTCCATACACAGGCTTTATTTTTTTTTCCCCTAAGCTTAAATTCCTAGTGGTGGAAATGCCTGACTAAGGGACATGGCACATTTTTGAGGCTTTCTATGAGTAATGCAAAATTACCCTCCTGGAAAGTTGTAACAATTGAAAATACCCACCAGCAGCATTCGAAAGTGACAATCCCCCAAACCTAATAGTTAGCAAGATTTGTTTTTGAACAGTCAAATCCCTATATGGCTCTAAGTTTTAAAAACAGTGAAACTCTTGATAAAATGTATCAAGAGAAAGAGCAGACAATGTGGACAATAAATGTTGGATTTTACAGTACACGTTTTCAAATACAAAATATAAAACTTTGACAGCACATCCCAGCAGAATGAACAAAATGAATGTTAAAAAAAAATCTAGTGACACTGGGCTCTGAAAAGTGCCAAGCCAGTAAGACTCCACATCTTTGCCTGCCCACCTGGTTAATATCAGGCTTCACGGTTGGGCTCTAATAGTTAACATGCTCTATTGTTTACAAGAAAACAAACTCACAAAATTGTATATTCTTTCAAATTTTACAAGTACTATCTTATAGCTAAGGTGCAATCTTAAGTTCTCAAAATTCTTACATATTCACTTAGTCAATAAATATCTGAATGTCTACTGTGGGCTGGGCACTGTTCTATGGAGACACAGCAGTGAACCCCACGGATCCCCTGCTGTTCCAGAGTGGAGCACAGAGCCCTGCAGTTAGGAATTAGCAAATCATAGTTACAATGCCAGTCTGGAACTACTGGATTCTTAGGCAAATGAGAACACCTCTGGGGCTTGGTTTCTTTAGCAGTAAACTTACAGTTGACCAGAAGATCTAAGGCCCTTTCTGGCTCTTAAATTCTGTACCTTCTTTGGTTTTGTTTGAATGCTTAAGCTCCTACTGCTCCTAAGTACTTTGCATTTTAAGCTATATATAGGACTACATATAGTCCTTCCTTAGAAATCAGAACCAGGCTCTCAGCCCCTTCCTCCCAAATTTTACATCTAGAGTAAAACTCTGGTGATCCAGATAATTTCAAGGGATAATACAGGATCAGGTTCCACTCGGATGAAGATTTATGCTCCCAATTTAACTGTTTCTTTGAAAAAGATCCTAAAATGTTCTTGTTCCTTCGCTTTTGCACTGCACTATAAATACTACAGCAAACATGAAACAGGACCCAGTGGTGTGGCGGCTGGTCTCCAAGCCTGCGGCTGGGACAGCTGGCTCCCAGCTTTAAGGTGGCATGCTGGCAGCTGCAGCACTGGGGTTGTGGTAGTCGAGTCTCACCTCGCTCCAGCTTACCCGCACCCCCAATTCACAGGCACATTCTGTCTACAGAATGTCTACAACTCACCGCCCCACCAGCATTTCTAATAGGAGATATGGGGGCATGCCTTCTGCCACCACTTGTTATTTTCCACCACATGCTCCCACCACCACCATTTCAACTGTCCTCTGATCCAGGGTCTCCTTGGAGAAGCCTGCTTCTGCTAGCTGTGAGAGGACAGCAAGGGGCCTCAGTATCCCAAGTCACCCTTAGGGAAGAACCACAAACTGTCTACAAGCATTAGCACCTTTCTGGGGTCTTCCAGGATACTACCACTTAATAATACAGGTGCAGATTCTCAGCTTTGGGTATGTGATTTCAAGTCTTCCTCTGTACCTGCCCTACAAACCAGAAGAATGTGTAGAGGCAAGGTGTTCTCACATTTCTGCAGAAGTACGTGAAAAATCCACCTACTAAAAGGTTTTCTTCAACTTCCAACATAAAAGCATAAAACAGTAACTGATACACACAACCTCTGCCCACAGAAGCAAAGAGGAGCAGCCAGGACTGGTAAGAATGTATGTGTTGTCAATTGTAGAGAATGGAAAGTCAACCTGGAAGTCCCGCATCGCTACAGTTCACAAAGGAAATGAAAAGGTAGTAGTACCGGTACTTTGACTCAAGCACCTCGGCCTGTACACGTTCCAGTGACCTATAAAACAGATGCTCACGGGCTTCCGTTAGTTTGCCTGGAGGGTTTTTGCTGCAAGGAGACTGATGAAAGACAAAAGGAACTTGATTTAAGATTTCAGAGTCACAGAATCCACCCTTTACATAGCATGCGCACAGAGCTCATGAGAGAATGATGGAAGATAAAATCATCTTACATGGGAGCAACTTTTGGGGTTCAGGGATCAACCAATTAGAATAGGAAATAAAAACATCAAATCCCCTCATTCTGCAAGATCACAGCTCCTGATGTTGGACAGGACCCCAAAAGTCACAGTTAAGAAAAAGACAACAGGTTCTAATTAGGCATCTACAACAATTGCTTGGCACAACACTCATTTCCCAAGATTTCAGTTAATCTAAAGGAACATATATTTAGAATGACAAACAGATTAGAAGTTGGGAAGAGGAAATACCACAGTTCCTGATACACCCTAAAATAGAACAGGCACACATTCTTCCTGTGAGAATAAAAGTACCTGCATAAAGCACATATATTTTATGGGCTCATTAGTCTGTAATCTGCCCCCAAAGAATTCAAACATTCACTATACTAAAAAAGGCCTCTCAAAGTTTTACACTTAAGCAAAGGGCTAATACACTGAAATCAAAGATGGAACTTCTAACTGAATTACTCAGAAATCACTATAATGTCCTGGAAAATTAGACACATTTTTAAGGCTTCATAGTTTAATTTCAGGGTACAGAAACAAAATGCAACTCACTTAAAGCAACAATGTGAGAAGATGCTTTAACAGTGGGATGCATCTGGTAACGTCAAGGGCCACAGCCAAGATGGAGAAAACTCAGTTCAAAGACTCCCAAATCTAAGTATTTTGAGAAAAACCAGACAAGATTATTTTTTTAAATTCTCTAATTATTAGTTAATTCTCTAAATATTCACAGCACATTATGACCCAGGCTAAGCAATAAAGAAGCAGCAGATCCACACCTGCCCTCCTGGAGCTTCCAGGTAGAGGAACCCCACCATCCAAGGTCTCTCTCCCACATCACTGAACCTTCCTTGCCACTTCCAAATGCCCAGGACACCCATCCCAGCACCTGCTCTCTCCCACCAGCCACTTTCTAATCAGAAACTCCAACCACACTGGCGGCTGTCTGTTCCCCTGGTGTGCGAGGCTCGGTCCCACTGCCTGGCCTTTGCACAAGCCATGCCCTCCGCGTATGTCATGCCCTCTGCCTCAGCCACCACTCCTCCAGATCTCCAAGAACACACTCAACTCTCGGTTTGAATTTCTTCACCTCAGAGAGGCTTCCAGAACTGCTCAGTCTAAAACAGCGGCCCCACCCTGCCCCTCTTTATCCCAGCAACCCTATTTTATCACTTCCCTAGCACGTCTTACTCTCTGACCTTATTGTCTTTATTGCTTCTCTGCTTTTTATCCATCTCCCTCACTAAGAGGTGAACTCATTAGAATGGGGTCTCTGTCCTGTGCATTGCTACCTTCTCAGTCTCTAGAAAGTTGCCTGGGATGTAACAGATGCTCAGTAAATACTTATTTAAGAAGAGCAAACACAGCCAATATTAGCAGTTTTGTACCACAGTGACAGGTATTAAATAACAAAGAAAAAACAAAACACCTTAAACATGAAAAGGTTTCCCTGGTCATTTAAAAAAAGGATTATTATAGTTTCTTACATTAGCTCTAAAAACACTTTCAAAAATAAACATAATGGAAATATAAAGCTCAACAATGAATAATACTCAAATTTTATAATGTATTTGGCTCAACTGCTAGCTAGCATTAGTCTTACTTCTACAATTTATTGCTTTAAGAGCACTCTAAGAGACCTCAATTTTTAATTTAGAAAGGCCAAATATTTCCTAAAAGCATACTCCTCCTTAAGAGTTACGAGTAACCTTCTCCCAAAGTGTACAGTTTATAAACATATAGCAACATTAAAATATGAGATACCAGTGATCATTTGCAGAAGGCAGGGGTGTCGCTGCCTAATGGCAAACAAGTTTTACAAAACACAACCTGCCTTTACCTCCAACCTAACCAAAGGTATGAGCCTCTTCTCCATGTTCAAAATATTTAAACTCCTAGGAATTTTTCTTACAGATTACTCTGAAAATTTTATATCTGGGCTGCCGCTGGGGAAGGTAAAGCGGTGACGGTGGCCTCAGGAGCTGTGGGGTCCCCGACTGGAGGTGGGGAACTCGGCGGGGTTTGGGTACCCCTCCTATGCAACATATGGTTCCACAGTCCTCAGCATGTTAACTGAAGCCATGTTGAGCTTCACACAGGCGCCACTGAAGGTCTGATGGTGGCAAAGACGCTGCCACACCTTCTGGTCCTTTGGGCTCACACCATTGGTACCTCTGATCCTGGTGACAAATGCCAGTTGGATTCCACGGGTCATAAAATGGACGGAGAAAAGACCCAGCGAATCAACCAATGATTCCACCCATATGCCCCCTCCCTGGAACCCACACACCCTGGGGAGGAGGGACAACTAATTAACATTTCTTTAGGTTATTAAGTCCTTCCTTTGTGTATGGGCCCAGCAAAATTATGCATAAATGTCGGCCGACAAACTTGGGCTTTCCTCCTACCTCCAAAAGAAGACTTGCGGACATTGCTGCCCTTTTTCTGTCTGTGAACCGTGTTTTCTACTAAAACTTTAGGGAAAGAGTTAGGGAAAGAACAAAAAAGATTATGTAAAAGGTTACTAACACTACATTGAAACATTACCATGACAAAGGACTTCTTGGCTGGCTTGACAGTGGAATGACACCCTCCTCCTCCATCCTCAATAAACAAATTGGGCCTGAACTATAGGCATATAAAACATATGGAAACTTGCTGCCAGCACCAGAGAACTTGGGACTCGGACCGGACATTTCACAGGGGCCAGTCGTGGTCATAGTAACTATTTCTTGTGCTATAATCAGTCGTACAGGCCTGTGTCCCACTTGCTTTTGTGATAGCCATAAGGAATTTACAATTTAATAAGACTTTATGTGCTGTAACTTGTATAATTGCCAATTTTGTGTTACTCCTGTTCAGTTCAATCATAGTACCTACAGCTGGGAACAAATCAAATTTCATTTACATGATAATGACTCTCTGAATGTACAATTACTGCAAAAGAAAATCTTTGAAACTTTTTCTAAACATCTGCCCTCTTCCACTAATTTGGAAACTTTAGCTGAACAAATTATCCAGGCTAGACCCACAAGGATGGTTTCAAAGTATTACCCACAGCATCGGATCTAAAACTGTAACTTTGATTTGCATTTCTCTGATAATGAGTGATGTTGAGCATCTTTTCATGTGTTTGTTAGCCATCTGTATGTCTTCTTTGGAGACATGTCTGTTTAGTTCTTTGGCCCATTTTTTGATTGGGTCATTGGAGCCTATTATACAGAGTGAAGTAAGTCAGAAAGATAAAGAACATTACAGCATACTAACATATCTATGGAATTTAGAAAGATGGTAATGATAACCCTATATGCAAAACAGAAAAAGAGACACAGATGTACAGAACAGACTTTTGGACTCTGTGGGAGAAGGTGAGGGTGGGATGTTTTGAGAGAACAGCATGTATATTATCTAGGGTGAAACAGATCACCAGCCCAGGTGGTATGCATGAGACAAGTGCTCGGGCCTGGTGCATTGGGAAGACCCAGAGGAATCGGGTGGAGAAGGAGGTGGGAGGGGGAATAGGGATGGGGAATACATGTAACTCCATGGCTGATTCATGTCAATGTATGACAAAACCCACTGAAATGTTGTGAAGTAATTAGCCTCCAACTAATAAAAATAAATGAAAAAAAAATTTTATATCTGTTCTTCTATTTCTTTTGTTGAGACAAAGAGCTAAGGTGTTAATCAAGGAATGCCAGCTTAGTAACTGGCCCTGGTTTCTCACACTTCACCTTATGGATCACTTTGAAATTATATAAAAGCAAAGAGTGTACACTGGAGACAAGGGGCATTTATTTCCTGGAACACGATGCAAAGAAATGTTACCACTGCCTTTGGGAATAATTGAAATTCACTTAAAAACCTCAGAAACTAATGTTTTACAACAGTTCTACAGCAAAATAGTAGAAAAAATCTACTACACATACCTCAATAAAGAAGAGGTTAAATAAATGATGGCTCATCCTTAATGGAGTACTCCGCAGCTGTTAGAGAATGAGACAGCTCTTAGGTACCGATGTAGAGACTGCCAAGATTTAGTACTCTGCGGGGAGGGAAGGGGAGGGCGGGGAGCTGGTGCAGAACAGAGTACACAATGTGTCCTCAATTGTGGAAAGACAAATAAAAAGAACACATACAAAATGTTTATACTAGCATAGGCTTTATCTGGAAAGATATACACAGGGTCCTGGGGAGAACAGGGTGCAGTGGAGGGGTGAGGGGTGGGGAGAGGAGATACACTTTTCACTCCATAGCTTTTTATACATGCTGAATCTTCTAGAGGGCGCATAGGCAGCTGGTCCCACAAATAATGGTGATAAATTTTAATGTTATAATAATTTATATCATTGCCAACATATTATTGAACAATGACCATCAATAAGCGGAAGGTTTCAAAAATCACAGAAGTTCGTTCTCTTTGACAGCAAAGTTCCTGATCCTTATTTCCCAGAAAAGAATCCAACTGTCCAGTAATTAGAGGTGAGCTTGTGATCTCACCTATTACAAAGCAAATAAACCTCAATTCAAAGCTTGGAAGGGAAATTTAAATCGAGCTTGTAACTACCTAATGAAGTCTCCAAATCAACAGTTTCCCCTTGGCTATAAAACAGAAAGTCAACCTATGAAACAAGTAAGAGGACAGTGTTTTTAAAAACATACTCTATACTTAGGTTTCCTTTCCCCTGCCAGGCTAAGACAAGGAAGCCTCTGATATTAGTGAAATGTGATTTCAGATCTGTGGCAAAATCAGCATTTAAGGGAAGGGACAAGCATCATTTGCACTAAGCAAACGCTTTCACTTTTCTAGGAAGGGAATTTGCTTTAAATTTAATTTAGGAATCATTTTTGGACCTCTGACTAAATGATACTACTAAGTCACTTCACTTTACTCCAAAACACATTTTTTTAATTAAATACAAATCTAAAACTGAAAACAAATCAGAAGGCAAACTTTAAACTGAAACCTTTCTATCAGAAAATGTATCTTAAATGAACACATTAAAAAATGCAGAGAAATTCATTTCCATACAAATGCTATTCAGTAGCATCATATATGCTCTATCAATATTTGAGTGCAATAACCCATACAAAAAGGAAGACAGAGGTACCCAACCGCAAATAAAACACCTCATATATTTTTGGAAGCCAAAGGTGGGGATGAGGAAGGTGGAGACTAGAATCACATTATTCAAGGCGTAAATTCACAACATGTGAAGTGCAGAATTTTCTGTCGGTCAGAACTTAGGATTCCAGCTGTCTTTTGAAACGATACATTTAAAACTGGAATCTATTATGAAGCCTAAGTTTGACGGTCAACTCCTTAAACTCTGGATTCAATCCTTCGGATACAAGCACATAAAATAAAGGTAAATCAAATACACCATGAATACAGAAGGGACAGCGAACTAGCTTCAATGCAGAGATGAGGCACGGGGGTCACTCGGTCGATTACATCACTTAAGAAAAATAAAAATTAAAGCTCCTTCCCATCCCCCAGGTAGCCTGTGGCCTCAGAACTTCTGACCTACGTGCGGCAGAAGTTCGCGGCCGGGGAGTCGGCGTCCTCCGGGAGCCGGGGTGGCCCAAGGGCGCGGAGAGCGGCGAGACCTGGTGCGCCCCATCCCCCGCCTCGGTCACTCCTCTCGGGCGCTCCCGGACCCCGGGGCCAAAGCCGCCCAGAGCGCTGCCCCCGGCCCTGCGCCGGCCGCCCGGCGCCCGCGACGATGCGCCCAGGGGACCCGGCTCCGGGGTCTGCGGCTCCCATTCCCCACGCCTCGCGCCGCGCCCACCAGCTCCCAGTACTCACGGGCCGCTCGCGCGCCGCTATCTAGCCATCCTCGGCCGCCGCCCGGGGGCTGCCCGGAGTTCGCAGTCGCCCGTGGGCTGGAAGCGTAGAGGAGGGGGGCCGAACACCACCCGCCGCCTCCGCCGTCTCGCCTTCCCCAGTCCCAGCGCAGGGCTGCAGCAGGCGACCGCGGGCGAGGGGTGGCCCGCTGCCCTCCGCGAGCCCCGGGAGACGCCGCCGCCGCCACAGACGCGCGGAGGCAACAGTAACGGCCACCGCCACTGGCGAGACGCTCCAGCCCCGACTGCGGCGCGCGGGGGCGGTGCCTGCACGCCGCTCGGCGGGGGGCGCCGCTACCCGGGTCCCGGCCCCGCCCCCGGCCCCGCCCCGCGCACCCCCGCCGGAAGCCGCCAGCGCGCCCCCGCCGTCGCCCCTCGGCGGGGCCGCGCGCGTTTGGCGCTCGTCGCGGGGCCGCCCCCGGGAGCCGGAGGAGAGCGGCCGCGCGCGGGGCTCCAGCGCCGAGGGTGGTGCTTCCGCGGAGAGTCCCGTCGCGAGGCCCATCTCGGAAGGTCACGGAAGAGTCGGGGAGAGGAGCGGCCTGGCCCGTGCAAATGGTCGGGAAGGCAGGCCTAGCGCGCGGCGGCCCTGCGAGGAGAGCGGCTCTCGAGACGCTGTCAAAGCTCATTGCCTGGAGGAGAGGACGACCTACGGCCGTGTTTTAGCTTCCTCTGTAAATAACACTCGAAAACTAGCCTCTGCGCGGGGGCGCGGATGGTTGGGGGCGGGGAGGAAGGACAAGGGGAGCGATTGCTTAGATGTTATGAATAACTTAAAATGCTCCCAGGGCGGCGCTGCCACTCTGGGCACTTTCCTCCTGCCCACGCAGGGCTCGCTCGGCCGGAGAGGGCCTGCGGGGGCATTCGGAGTCATCTAGTCTTGCCTGCAAGGCGTGGTGGGCTTATTTGTGCGGAGAAAAAACGGATCTCTTAATGGGGTGAGATTTTTCCTCCTTGCATTGTTCCCATTTCCGCAGTTTCACTTGGCCTCGGTTTTCGTCCAGAGTAATGCACCAAATGTAATTAGCTGGAGAGCGTTTGATGGCGCAGAATCATGGTTTGAAGATGTTTACCCTCTATGCCGGACGCGTTTGATGATGTTCTCTTCAGCACAATTAATTTTGCAAAGTTCAGAAATGTGCCAGATGGAGCCCCTGGCACGCAGAGTCACAGAGCTCTGCAGACACACCTTCAATAGGAAGCCAACTTGTTTGTTTCATTTGTGATTTATTTGATGCACCAGCACACGGGCCAACGTGTTTTTATAAGAGACCTTTGGATGAAATTCCAAAGCAATTTCTAAATTGGCAAAACGAACCTTATTTTCTGAGGCAATATTTCCCTGTTGATAATGTAACTAAAAATGGGCAAAAAAACACCATCAGGTACACTGAAAAGTAGTCTCCCTAAATGAAAGTGTGTGTTTCACAGTAAGACATGGACCCCACTTGTGTTCTAACGGCCAGCTTCATCCATATGCGTATTTTAAACGCCAAAACTAATGCTTCCTATTATCTCTGAGACCTTGTTTACAAAACAGATTTCCAGTATGTGTACCTGAACCCCCGTTTAAGATGCTGCTTTTTGTGTTACCTTGGTTCTTGAGTCCTTGGTGGTTTGGGACATTTATCTCATTTTAAAAGATTTTAATGGATGAAGGGGTTCAAGGAAGAGTCACAGGTGCCTGGAGTCTAAGAAAATTGTGATGTAGCCCCTACATGAGGTGGAGAAATTCCTTTGTGGGGAAAAATCATAGTTTTTAAGCATATTACATAGAATGCTTACTTCTGTGACTTAGACATTGAAACTCTTGGGAGAAGAATAATGCCTAGCAACTATTGGATACACTCTATGCCTGGCATCATCCATCGGCTCTTTTAACCTGCACAACTTACTTGTAAAACAGGTACTGTTATCACAGGGTGCGTTGATGCATATTTTATGAGAAATTTATGCAATTTGGGTGGTCCTTCCAAAGGAAAAGGAAAAACAAAACAATACAGCACACCCAAGCTGCTCCAGCACCACCCAACCTGAGGGAAAGTGACAAAGGGGAAACTGAAAGGGAAAGAGATCTCAGTCTCAGCTGATAGTGGTTAAAATATCTTACTTTTGCCAATTGTACAAAAACACGACCATGTGAATGTATTGCCTTGTCTCTTGCCAGGGACTTGGATGTGGGGCTGGAACAATGCCTTAAAGCTTATGCTTTAATTAAATTCAGAAAATTTCCCTCCCAGTGCACACCCCCATATCATAAGTCAGGGAACTCAGGAACTTGACACAGTTTTCAAGGAGCACTCCAGGACCCACACCATACTGAGGTATGGTTTGAAGAGCCATGTTACACACACGTTTCATGAGAAAAAGTAGATTTTATATTTCCAGAAGAAAGTAAGGGCTTTAAAAATATGTTAGCAATTTTCTGATTACAACCAGAAACTCAGTTTTTGCAGCACTTGATATGGTCCTGCTGAGTTGATAGTAGGAAATTTTCCTTAATGATTGTATAAAAGGTGGATTTTTGGATTCTTAAAGGAATTTCAACTTAATTTCAAGTGCCATGGATTGACACTGTTATTTCCCTTGTCATAGACAAGTCTGTTTTGTAAATACTATTTTATATAATAATTAAGTTTGTAAACAAAAGACAGATATTGCAAATAAATATCAAAACATAAATTTATGCTTGATGCTTATATTGTATAATATGAAGAGTCTGATAGTAATTCTTATTCAGTGTTTGTGTTGAACAAATAAAGAAGGAAATGGAAATGACTACATAATTAGAAGCAAGAAGGTAAGTTGTATAATAAGCTAAAATTGAATGGGAATAAAGAAGCAAAATGTTGAACATAAAGCACTTGTTGGATAGCTCAAATTGATTTCCTTGTTAATTATTTTACGCCCAAGATTTGTGTTCTTCTTTCTAGCTATTCTCCCTGCTTTTCTATTTTGTTCATTTCTTTCTTTCTTTTTTTTCGTAAATAAGATTTCGTTTGAAATGTTTAAACATAAAGATAATCTTTAAGTGAAACAAAAATCATCACCACACCTGTAATGAAACTTTTGGAAATGAAAGGCTTTGTTCTTTGAAGAGATCCATCACTCACAAAAGCAGCAAATGTGAGACGATGGGGTTTTGTTATTAAATTACTCATATCTTGGCTCCCATGCGGGCTTCTTGGGATGTGTGATCTAACATGTGTGCTGTTATCAATCAGTGGGACAAGATATGGCTTTCTTCCTGGAAGAAATTTTGGAACCAAATAAAACTACAAATTAAGCATAGTTATTAGCCAGACAATAGGTGAAATGAGTGATGCCATTCTTCATTTTAAGCATGACTGATAAATATAGACTTAAATTGGTTTATTTTAGAAAGTAGTTTTGGGCAAGGTACAAAACTTTAGATATATGACAAGATACATGAGAAAAATCAGCTAATTTTCTGTCCATGTTATGTTCTGAGTAACCAAAGTAGTTTGAAATGTGGTGTGAGGGGCATGAAAAATGCAATAAACACCATGAAAGATATTATCTTCCTGTGATTCTGTTTAAGATATTCTCTTTCAAAGAGAAAGATTTTGGGGGTGTTATGTAAACTTTTGGTTTATATCCTCAGCATCGCCCCAACAAGATTGTATTTTGTCTTTTACTTATTTTTACCAAAGCCTTCTTCCAAGGAGACTTCAGGTGGTTTACAATGAAAAAAACATTTTTTTCTTAAAGGAAAAAAAAAACTTCTGCCTAAGACAAACAATAGCATTTGAGCACAAAACTCAGCTCCAGGCTTCCTCACAACCAAATGAAGTAGGGGGAAATGAAGATTTTTGTAGCTTATTGTTAAGTGCAAGGAATGGCAAAGTGGAGTTTATTTTGAAGAAAGTCTTTCCTGGCTCACACTGGGAGAGAAATTTGTCATAAGGGTCTTTATATGATGGATATTCCAGAGTCTTAAGATAACAGGACACTACAATCCACATCAATGGTTTCAGCCATCCTTTGATGGCAGGCAGAGCCGACTTTTTTTTTTTTTTCCTCCTTGGTGGAAACATTTGAAATTGCTATTGTCGTAAGTGGAGAGACTCATACAGGGTTATTTTCTTTCTTTTAATACTGCCCCATTGTAGAGTAATTAGCCCCCAACTAATAATAAATGGAAAAAAAATACGGCCCTGTGAAGGCAAACCAAGGACATAATATCAAATCTTGGTTTCCCCAGTTTCTTTATGAAAAGGGCTTATTTAAAATACCTATCAGAAGGTGGCAGAGAAGACAAATCAATTAATTTCTATAAAGCCTCTTACTGCACTGTGTTGAACATGCTGCAGTTTTCCTCAGACAAGGTGTGTGTGTATAATTTTTCCTCCTCTCTTATAATGTCTATTATGGTAAATCACCTCAGATCCCTTTTGGAAGACTGCATGGAGTATATGCCTGACACAAAGTAAGCAATAAATATTAACTGCAAATTATATCCTTATTACCACTTCTACTATCACTTCTCAGTCAATCAAAGCAGGTAGATGAGTCTCTTTGGGACTACGTGTGGTAGTTAGGTAGTTATAAATCCTGTTATCTTCAGTGGGTAAAGCTTAGAGATTGATTTGAGGAGCCCTGAGTAAGGAGGGTCCTTTCCTGCAACAGACTAACACTTAGCAAATTCCTGGTAGAGCCAGGCTTCCCAGTGGCTCAGTGGTAAAGATTCTGCCTGCAGTGCAGGAGCCACAGGTTCAATCCCTACGTAGGGAAGATCCCCTGGATGAGGGCATGGCGCCCCACTCCAGTATTCTTGCCTGGAGAATCCCATGGACAGAGAAGCCTGGTGGGCCCCAGTCCATGGGGTCGCAAAGAGTTGGACACCACTGAAGCGACTGAGAACAAGATCTGTCACCCCAAGAATCCTATTAAAATTAATCTTAAAAAAAAATTAATCTTACACTTCTGAGAGGTTAAACATCCTAAGCTGTTGAGGTTACCCATGAACCAGAGCCTAGGGAGGGGGTACCAGGGATGTAGAAGGAGCCACTGAAGGCCAGTGGCAAACCCTCACCTGGAACGAGCCCTGCCCCGCTGCTCTGCTCTGCTGCAATCTCCTTCCCTCCAGCCGAGTATCAGTAAGTTACTGTCTTGATTGAAACTTCACTTCAAAGCCTTGCCTTCCTCTCATTTTTTTGTTTTTCTTCCTGCCTCTTCTGTCTTCTCGTTTCTGCTTCTGTCTCCACTCACACCGTGCATCTTATCTTTTGATCCTCCATCCCTTTAACTTGTAGCTCTTCTTTTTGACTTACCAAGCTGTCTCCTCTGTTCTTGCTTGTCTCGTTCTTTCCCTATATTCTTTTATCTGTTGTCTAGAGCCATTGAGGGGCAAAGCAAGACATTCAAATTGACGCAGTGCTATTCCATATAGTCCATCATAGACCCAGAATCCTGTGCTGTTAACTCTCAGTTGAGCTAATGGATCCTGCAAAAGAGCTATTTACTCCAATCTTGGTGGTGATATTAAGCCCATTATTTAATTTGTTCCTACAGTTACTGCACTCAGTGTGTTGCCAGAGGCATCTTGCACAGATG